TCCAAGTTGTTAGTTCCCAGGGCCAGAATGGTGGCGTTTAGACTGATGGTGCTTTTCTGCCCAGGATTCTCCTGTCTGGCTTCCTTCTTGTGTCCGTAATGGGCGACTCTGCCTTCCCTGGGCTCCAAACCTCGGTCAGAAGGGGGACCAGTCTTGTTTACTTTGCACCAAGAGCTGCTGCACTGAGGTGCCACCACAGCCGCTGCGCCGGTCTCAGGAGTCGTGCTGGGGACCCGTGTGGGTCCTCCAAACCTCGGTCAGAAGGGGAGCCGGCCCTGTTTACTCTGCTCCAAGAGCTGCCGTGCCGATGTGCCAGTGAAACCACTGTGCTGGCCACAAGAGTCGTGCTGGCAACACGTGTAGTTAATCCACTGGGAATCTTCTGCTCCGTGAGCGACCAGAATTTGTCTGAAAGTGTGGCGTCCTGTAGCTCTCTGTGCTTTGACTGAGAGCTGCAATCCCGAGCTGTTATCGATTGGCCATCTTGGATCGTTCCGTCATACTGAGGCAATTCTAAAAACATTTTTACGAGAAATCATTTATCACACAATGTTTGGACTACGGCAATCTTCTTGTTTTGTTACTGTCAAAATTAAGTCTATGACATGTACACATTGATCCTTCATAGAGGCAACTCCCCTTGCTATTTTTAGTTTTCAGTTTATTTTTATTTTTAATTGACAAATAATTATATGTACAATGTGATGTTTTTATATATTTATACATTGTAACATGAACAAATCAGGCTAATTAAAATAATCATCAAGTCACATACTTATCATTTATGTTGGGAACATTTGAAATCCAATTTTTAGAGCAATTTTAAAACATACAATATATTATTAACTACAGTCACCAATATGATTTGGCTCTGTCTCCACCCACATCTCATATCGAATTGTAATTCCTAGTGTTGGAGAAGCAGCCTGGTGAGAAGTGACTGAATCATGGGGGCAGACTTCTTCCTTGCTCCTCTTGTGATATTAAGGGGGTTCTCATGAATTCTTACAGTTTAAAAGTGTGTGGCACTTCCCCCCTCACTCCTTCTCTCTTCCATCACCATGGTAAGACATGTTTGCTTCCCCTTCATCTTCCGCCATGAATGTATGTTACCTGAGGCCTCCCCAGCTGTGCTTCCTGTATAGCCTGCAGAACCATGAGCCAATTAAACCTCTTTTCTTTATAAATTACCCAGTCTCACACAGTTCTTTATAGCAATGCCAGAACAGGCAAATGTACTCACCTTGTTGTGCAATGTATCACCAGAACTTATGCTTCCTGTCTAACTGAAACTTTGTATGACCTACATACATCCCTTACCTCCATCCTCTGGCATCCACCATTCTACTCTCTAGTTCTATGATTTTGACTTTTTTAGATTCCACGTATGAGGGAGGTTATGCAATTTTTGTTTTCCATGCCAACTTGCAGGGAATGGAATGGCGTGGACAGTACACATACCCCAAACTGGCTACACAGCTATGGGCAGAAAACTTGAAGACACCTTGAGGGCATTTTGGAATCTGGCTCTCAGGCATACAGAAGGCTTTATGGGTCTTTAATGACAACCATTGGCAAACCAGGATAATATACCTCCCTGCCTTTGTTCACTTGGGCTTCTACAATAAAATAGCATACACTGAGTGGCTGAAGCAACAATAATTGATTTCTCATGGTTCTGGAGGCTGACAGTCCAAGATCAAGTTGTGGCAGATCTAGTGTCTGGTGAGGACTGGTTTCCTGGTTCATAAATGGTGCTATGTCCATAGTAGACAACACTATTTTCTTGCCGTGTCTTCACATGGTAGAAGGGGCAAGGGAGCTCTCTGGGTCCCTTTTTATAAGGGCATTCATCCCATTCATGAGGCCCCACCCTCATGATCTCATCACCTCCTAAAGGCACCACCACCTAACACCATCACCTTGGAGGTGAATATTTCAGTGCATGAAATTTGGAAGACACAGACGTTCATATCATAGTACCATGATGGTATAGATTGTGATTCCAAAACATATAAATTTGTGGAAGTTGGCACAGACATTCATCCCATTGCATCCCCTATTTGCTCTATGGAAAGAGAATGCATGCCTACTGAATTCAGATGCCTGCCTATTTAACTGGCATTTTCACTTGCTGGGTGTGGATGGTACACGTGCCCTAAATTGGCTACAGAGCTATGGGCAGAAAGCTTGAAGACAGCCTGAGAGCATTTTGGAATCTGGCTCTGAGGCACACAGTGAGCTTGATGGGTCTTTAAAGACCAGAGACTTGGGGGTGGAGAGTGGTCTTCTACACAACAGATGAGAATAAACTTCTTTCCAGCATTTGTTTGGATGAAGCAACTCAAGTCATTCACAGGACCAAATGCCCTGGCCTGTCAATATCCAGGTGATTGGAAATTCTTCTGGGAAGAAACCTTCTCATTCCCCTTCTGGCAGGCTCCTGATGCCACTGCACCATTGGATGTTGCTAAAATGCTCAACACAATACACTGGCAGCTCATTTTACCTAGGGATTTGACTCTTGACATCACTGAGTGGGTGGAGAAAATCTTTCCATCTCTCAAATATTTGCAAAGGAGACCATAATTGGGCCATCTTCACAGGAAAGGGGGAAGGAACCCTGTCATCTGTAGCAATGGGACTGCTTTCTTTGAGAAAAACTTGGTTTTATTGGGTTTAGAAAGTCTTATCATGAGAACTACCATCTCATCCAGCAATCCCACTTACTGGGTATCTACCCAAAGGAAAACAAATCATTCTATCAAAAAGATATATGCACTCATATGTTTATTCACAATAGCAAAGATATGGAATCAACCTAAGTGTCCGTCAGTGCATGAACGTACAAAGAAAATGTGTATACACCATGTGTATTAATCTGCTCTCACGCTGCTGATAAAGACATACCCAACACTTGGCAATTTATAAAGGAAACGGGTTGAATGGAGTCACAGTTCAACATGGCTGGGGAGGCCTCACAGTCATGGCAGTAGAGCAAGGGATGTCTTACACGGCAGCAAGCAAGAAGAGAATGAGAACCAAGTGAAAGGTGAAACCCCTTATAAAACTGTCAGATCTCGTGAGACTTATTCACTACCATGTGAACATTATGAGGGAGTCCACCCCTGTGATTCAGTTATCTTCCACCTGGTCCCTCCCACAACACGTGAGAATTGTGGGAGCTGCAATTCAATATGAGATTTGTGTGGGAACACAGCCAAATCATATCACTGTGGAATATTATACAGCCCCCCAAAAGAATGAAATCATGACTTCTGCAGCAACATGGATACAACTGGAGGATATTATCCTAAGTGAAACAACTCAAAAACAGGAAGACAAACACCATATGTTCTCACTTACAAGCAGGAGCTAAACACTGTGTACACGTGGACACAGAGAGTGGAATAACAGACACTGGAGACTGGGAAAGGAGGCAGGGGGTAGGAAGGTGAGGCATGAGAAATTACCTAGTGGATGCAGTGTACACTATCTGAGCGATGGTTATAGGAAAAGCCCAGACTTCAGCATTCTACAATCTTGCCATGTGACAAAACTGCACTTGTATCCCCTAAATCTATAAAAATAAAAATTAAAAATGCTTTTAAAAAATTACAAATAAGCAGCCAAGTGTGGTGGCTCATGCCTGTAATCCCAGCACTTTTGGAGGCTGAGGCTAGTGGATTGCTTGAGTTCAGGAGTTCAAGAGCAGCCTGGGTAACATGGCAAAACTCCATCTCTACAAAAAATACAAAAAAATTAGCCAGGTGTGGTGGCACATGCCTTTCGTCCTAGCTACTTGGGAGGCTGAAGAGATCGATGTAGTGAACCAAGATCACAGCGCTGCACTCCAACCTGGGCAACAGAGGGAGACCCTGTCTCAAAAAAAAAAAAAAAAAAAAACCGTATTCTTAAATATCCATTGCTGTTTGACTCTGGGATGGCTGTGCCTCCTGGGGTCCAAATGCACCAACATCTATCTGCAAGGAATGGGGAACAAATAGGGTTTGGAGAAATAGCATGTCTATAAAGGTATTTACTTACAATGCAAGAGGACATGGGGAAAACCACAATAATTTTATTTTGGTTTCTTCAATGATTAAGGACTTCCTGTCTTTGAGGAAGGTGGTGCATTTGGTCTCTCTCGCTCTCTCTCTCTCTCTCTGTGTGTGTGTGTATGCGCACGGGTGTATGTGTGTGTGTGTGCACGCGCACGTGCAGACGCTCATTAAACATTTACAGTCCTGGAATGTTATTCTGACTACTCATAGCGACTCCACTTCCTGCCCACCCAAACAGCCATCCGTTATGGAAAATATGCCTGCCTTGGAAATATTTACTGGTGGCTCCGGAGTGCCACACAGGCATTTCTTATAAACACTTAACCTTCTGCTCAAGTCTCCAGGGGTCCCTTTTCTCTCTGGGTAGCAGGGTGAGTGTCCATGATTTGCTGACGCTGCAAGCTCCCACATGTCCAGCTGCTCTGCGATATTTATTTTCCACCTCCAGTAATTAACCTCATCCTCCTCTCAAAATATAAACAGCAGGCAGCAGATTTGCAGATTGCAGGCTTCAACATGCAGGACCTCGCCGAGTGCATTCACAGGCTGGTTCCATTTAAGGAGATTTTTGATGGTGCATTTTTGATGGTGATTCAGGGCAGCTACAGAGGTACCACTGGAAGGTGGAAAGCCACCTTGGAACGAAAGTCTCTGCTGGAATGAGCTGAGCAGCCTTGAATTAGGAAGGGATGTGGGGCAGATGCAAGGAGTTGACACTGAGTTTGCACAATGCCACCTTGTGTGTTTTCTTGCCTGTCTCCACGACCCCTCTCGAAAGCCACTTGGAAACTCTGGACACATTAGCTTGGCATGGCTTTAACGTCATGCTAACTGGCAGAACTCAGTGCTCCCCAAGCAAAGCCAAAGGGGTAATAAATTAAACACATGCTATGTTGGAAAGAGCTGCAGGGAGAAGCAGATTTATCAACGCGAGGGATGTCCGTAGGCATAGCTCACATTGTCAGCTCCCCACATTCCCCAGACAAACTGGGACAGGAAGAGTAAGCTCATTATTAGAGCTGTAATTCATCTCCGGGGTTTTACTGTGCTACTCTAGCAAGCTCTCAGTGACAAGGATAATTTCCCTTTCGGCACAAACAGTTCTATTACAAATGAGATCTCTCTGGGCTTCCAGTAAAAGCCCCCTACTACTGGCACGAATGAAAGACCTAGTAAAAAGAAAGTTGTCTCTGCACAAGGCTGGCACTGCATAGACCGAGGTTAAAAGCCTGAAAAGGGGCAGCTCACGCACACTTTCTTTACTACTCAGAAGGTATTATGGTAATATTTGTGACTGCAGAGTCTGTCTACATGCTTATTTGGTGGAAAACATGACAACTCTATTGACAATTTATGCATTTGCTTTCATGAAACACTCAGTTTGGTACAACAGCATCACAGTGAATAAAAGAAGAAAATACACAGTGTATCCTGACAACCTGAGTTCAGGTACAGAGATAAACTTGGCTGTTACATCTAAAGAGGAGTTTCTATCCTAAAAAGGAAAGTGCTCTGATGCAAAGACCCTGTTACCTTAACACTGTGCTTTTAGATAAGCTGCAAAGGGAACTGTAAGTAAGACACTCCCCACATCTCCTGAAGCTACCACAGAATCCGATATTTTGAATAAGGACAAGGTGTCTTTGTTCTTATAGAACTAGTCTGTTTGCAGTTTGCAGGACCCTGTGATGCTAAGCAGACATAGAAATGACATAAACTGGCTAGGTGCAGTGGTTCGTGCCTGTAATCCCAATCGTTTCAGAAGCCAAGGTGGGAGGATCCCTTGAGCCCTGGAGTTCAAGACCAGCTTAGGTGACATAGCAAGGCCCCGTCTCTACCAAAAATAAATAAATAAATAATCCAGGTGTGGTGACACATGCCTGTGGTCCTAGCTACTTGGGAGGTTGAAGTGGAAGGATCTCTTGAGCCCAGGAGTTCAAGGCCAGCCTGGGCAACATAGTGAGACCTCATCTCTATTTTTTTAAGAAATGGAAATTAAAAAAGATACACATTCCATTTGGGAGACTGAGGTGGGAAGACTGCATTGGTTCAGGAGGTTGATAGTGTAGTGAATCATGATCACGCCAGTGCACTCCAGCCTGGGTGACAGAGCAAGACCTGTCTAGAAGTAGAAAGAAGAAGGAGGAGGAAAAAGAGGATGAAGAAGAAGAGGAAGAAGAAGAAAAAAAGAAGGAGGAGGAGGAGGGGGAGAAACGAGGAAGGAGGAGGAATAAGAATATAAGAATCATATAAACAAATCAAATTAGTACATCTGCCAAAGTCAAGATTTGTTCTACTGTGCAGAGTCCACTTTGTGTGTTTGTTATATTGGAAAACATACCGCATTAGGAAAAATATTAAAATTTGACCTTCTCAGACTTGTTAGGTAATTATAGGAGCTTCTCAATCCTTCCTATGTTGTTATTTCTTTACTTTTTCCTTCTTTATCTTTATCATCATTTCAGACCTCCTAAATTATGCACAAAGCACCCTCATGAGTCAGGGTCCAAGCTGAGATGCTGCATTTGCATCTCTCAAAAAAGCATAGGCTTCCAAAGCTAATTGACAAGTGCTCTATTTCTTCAGGAATCAGTTCAGTTGGTTTCTGACCATTGGTACTAACTACATGAGTTTTGGAGAGAAACTATCAAGTCTAGACATGAAAATGTTGAAGTTAAGGTCATCATAAGAAAATTATTTCTTTCATTTCTTGACCATATACTATGTACCAGGCAAGGTGCAAAGCTACATCTCTGCTTTCAGGAAGCTAACACTCCTGTGAGGAGAAGCGGATAGTAAATAAAGAATCTATGTAGAAAATCACAGATGTTATGGGAGTTATAAAATAAATAAGTGGAGGAATCAGGAAGAGAAGCTGTCCTGCCACGTGGGTCCCATAAGAAGGCATCTCTAAGAAGGTGACATTTGAGCTGTTCTTTGAAGACTTAGAATCAGCTAAACATGACAAGAGCCAGTTGAAACGATTCCAGGGAGAGAAACCTGCAAGAGCAGAAAGCCAGAGTTTGAAAAGCGGTTGACCTGCTGGCAATTACATGACAGGCACAAGGAGCAGCCGCATTTTGGGGGCAGAAGCCTGAAAATGCAAAAACTCATTGGCTATCCAAGGAGTTTGAATTATATTCAAGTGCAGAGGAAGGCCAAGGAAAAATATAAAACATGTTGGGATGACAGTTCTGGAATTCAGGAGGTGAGTCAGGCTTGAAAATAGAACAAATAAGTATTCAGCAATACTTGGACATGCATGTTTATGGCAGCATGAGTCACGAAATCTACAATGTGGAAACAATCAAAATGTCCATCAACCTGTGAGAATAAATAAATAAAATGTGGTACATCCATACAATGGGATATTATTCAGCTATAAGGATAAAGAAAGCAGTGATACATACAATGACAGAGATGAGCCTTGAGAACATTATACTGCAGGTGAAAGAAGCCAGACACAGAAGGTCACATACTCTGTGATTCCGTTTACATGAGATGCGCAGATAGAGAAATCCACAGAGACAGAAAGCAGACTTCTGGTTGCCAGGGGCTGCTGCAGGGAAGCGGGATGAGGTGTAACTAACTGCTTAACGGATTTCCATTTGGAGTGATGAAAATGTTTTGATCTATCGCTTCTAGGCCTTTTGGCCAAGATCAAGTCAAAATGTTTTGAACTGAATAGAGATGATGATTGTACAACCTTGCAAGGGTCTTAAACATAACTCAGTAGTACACTTTAAAATGGTGAGCTTTTTGGTGAATTTTGGCCTCAATTAAAGAAATATGTAAACTTAGATGTTTTTAATATTATTCAGCAGTTTCAATAAGTAATTTTGGTTTAAGGAGGAAAAATGCTAATCACAAATAGACTTTATGATTAATGACAAACTCCATGGAAAGTAGAGAGAGAGAGAGAGAGAGAATGGAAATCTATTAAGATTTTGATGTTTTATATACATTATCTCACTTAATTCTCATTGTCCACCAGTATGGTCTTTATCCATTGTCTGCATTAAGATCCTTAAAGAAAACTCTCATCTTGACAACGAAAAAACTCTGTGGAGCTATTAGTAGTGAAGAGGGGTCTTTCCTGCCTTTTCAAAGCTTGTTCTAGCAGCAGCTACAGATGCCTCCAATTTATAGGACAGTCGCCAGTGACTTTTTGTTCACCATATTGCAAGATCCTAGTTCCTATACTGACTCTTTCTTATGTATATGGATCAGGGGAAAAATAAATATAAGGATGGAGGGTAATTCTATCATATGCGGTTAGCTCCCCATATTATAAATGCAGTGGTAAATTGGAAAACATGGAAGAGAGAGAGAACGCTAGCTTATTTCAGGTTTTCACTCTCAGTGCTCTGACAAAACAGAGTGAGGAGACCAGGGGGCCTCGCTTTGTCCCAAGCTGTGTGACATTGCAAAATTGTATCTATCTGTGACATCACAAAATTATCTCAGGTTTCAGGAATTGGTTTTCTAGCCTTTAAAACAAGGAGGATGGCTTAACAGCAGTTCCTAGCCTTTAGAAGGCAATAAGCCTCTCTGAGAACCTAATGAAAGCCACATCCTCCTTCACAGAAAGTACACAACACACACACATATGCGCATGCATGAAACACACACACACACACACACGCATGCATGCACACACGCGCACAGGGAGATAGTGCCCTTATCATGATCTTTTGAGTGCTACGTTTTTTGCATTTTTGTGCTTTTTGTCCATGACTTTTACTGTTGAAAATGGACCCTGGCTGGGTGCTCATGCCTATGATCCCAGCACTTTGGGAGGCTGAGACAGGGGGATCACTTGAAGTCAAGAGTTTGAACCAGCATGGGCCATGTACTGAGATCTTATCCCCACAAAAAGTTTTTAAAAATGGGCCAGATGTGGTGGCATGTGCCTGCACTCTCAGCTACTTGGTAGGTTGAGGTGGGAAGATCACTTGAACCTAGAAGTTTGAGGCTACAGTGAGCTGAGGTTGTAGTGAGCTATGCTCACACCACTGCACGTCAGCCTAGGTGACAGAGTGAGAACACATCCCTGGAAAATAAATAAGTAAATTGAAAACAAAACGTCCTGCAAGCATAGTGCTGTAGTGTTGTTTAGTCTTCCTAAGTGCAAGAAAGAAAGCTACGACGTGCCTTACATAGAAAATACTTCTGTTAGGGAAGCTTCATTCAGGCATGAATTATAGCTCTGCTAGCCATGAGTTTTGGGGTGAAGTATTCATTAATTCAGCGTTTGTGGTGGCTTTATAGAGCATAATCACCTCAAAAATGAGTGTATATTCACAATTGCAAACTATGGAGCCAGCCTCAATACCCATTAACCATTGAGTGGATAAAGGAAATGTAAGAGGTATATATATGTAATTATTTATGTTACCATGGATTACTACTTATAGTCATAAATAGTTATGGCTTATTATTACTACTTATAGCCATAAAAAGGAATAAAATAATGGCATTTGCAGCATCCTGGATGGAACTGGAGACCATCATTCTAAGTGAAGTAACTCAGGAATGGAAAACCAAACATAGTATGCTCTCATAAATGGGAGCTAATCTATGAGGATGCAAAGGCATAAGAATGACACAATGGACTTTGGGGACTAGAGGAAAGGGTGGGAGATGGATAAAAGACTACACATTGGGTGCAGTGTACACTGCTCGGGTGACAGGTGCACCAAAATCTCACAAATCACCACTAAAGAACTTATCCATGTAATCAAACACCACCTGTTTCCCCAAAAACCTATTGAGCTAAAAAAAATAATTTTTTTAAAAAAATGAGTGTGTTATACATAGAAATATATCGAATATATATCACAACAATATGAATCATGAAATGTATAACACAAACATAAGTGTGATATATATCCAACATGTTTATTTTATATATTATATATAATATACATTATGTATATTTATTTTATCTTTCTTTTATATATTTTATATAAGCATATATAATATAGATATTTATATATTTATTTTATATTATAGAACAAAATATATTTTATATACATCTCATATATACAATAAAAGACTGCATATTGGGTGCAATGTACACTGCTCAGGTGATGGCTGCACTGAAATCTGATAAAGCACCACTAAAGAACTTATTCATGTAACCAAACACCACCTGTTCACCAAAAACCTATGGAAATAAAAAAGTAAGAAGAAAAAAAAAGTTTTGTGTGTCTGGGTCTTTGGCTCCTAAACCAGCCTGTAAACTCTCAAATGACAGAGATTGTTCATGTGTCTGCCTGTGTGTAATTTGTCTGTTTTCATGTCCCTTACAATGCCTTTACAATCTTCTACAGTCTCACATCCCTTTTTATAATCTTTCTGTATTTGAGAGTCAATAATCTAATGTCACAGTGATCAGAGAATGTTACTCTGTTAGAATACTGGAAACTTGCTTTAACTATATGATGTGTTTCTTCAGTCTTATTTTATACACTTCTATGGTTTTTCGTTAAAAAAATTGATCTATTATATGTTTGGATACCTCAGCATCTTTTACAGATCATCGGGAATATTGGCACTATCTTCCACTGCCCTGAAAGTTTGCAACATACGATGAAATAGACAAACTTGAACAAATATTTATTTTTTCCCTCTAATGAATAGGGCTGAGACGTGTGTCTATTTTAGGTAATTGTTAGGAGTAGTTGGGTATATTTTGTTAACTTCTGTTAAATTAGGAGAAAAAGTTATGCCAAGGTTATAAGCTCGAAGGACAGAAGAATGTCAGTAAAGATTTTCACACTGAAGTGAACAGGCTTAGACCATCTAAGAGAATATGGATCTACCGCTGGGGCCCAACCCTGTGTTTCCCTTTCTCCCCTTCTATTCCTCTACCTCGCCTTTGCCTTAGAAATCACACCCTTCATGTATTAGATTTTAATGAGTAGCTGTGTCTGTCTCCTAGTCTGCAGACACATACAAAGATCTCCCCTTGAGCTTGGTGACCAATCCGTCTTCTAGTTTCTGGGTCTCTGTTGATTGACCTACATTAGCAAGACTGGCATATTGAACAGAGAACTACATAGGGGTCTGTGGGGTTCAGGAGTAAGTATGTTATTAGTGGAAAGAGCATGCCCACATTTTTACTATGAGTAGTAAAGATCGACTTTCAAAGGATAAAACATTTCTTTTTGAACACGGATCAAAAATATTTTTGCAAGATATGGAACTAATCTAAGTGTCCATCAACGAATGAGTGGATAAGAAAATGTGCTATACACCATGGAATACTACTCAGCCATAAAAGGGAATGAAATAATGTCTTCTATGGCAACTTGGATGAAGCTGGAGGCTGTTATTCTAAGTGAAGTAATTCAAGAATGGAAAACCAAATGTAGTATGTTCTCACTTACAGGTGAGAGCTAAACTATGTGGATACAAAGGCATAAGAATTATATAATGGACTTTGGGGACTCAGGGAGGTGGCGAAGGCTGGGAGTGGGGTGAGAGATAAAAGACGACATATTGGGCACAGGGTACGCTGCTTGGGTGGTGTGTGCACCAAAATTTCAGAAATCACCGCTAATGAACTGAACCAAAACCACCTGTACTCCTCACAACTATTAAAATAAAAATGAGAAGTATTTAAAAAATATTTTTGCACATTTTGAGTACCAAGCACTATTGATTGATATAGTCTCTGTAGGAGTTTATGTTATTTATTATTTATTTCATTTCCATAGGTTTTTGGGGAACAGATAGTGTTTGGTTACATGAGTAAGGTCTTTCACGGTGTTGTGTGAGATTTTGGTACATGTTTATAGCAGTACAATTTGCAATTTCAAAAATATGAAACCAGCCCAAATGTCCATCAATCAATTAGTGACTAAAGAAACTTGATATATATATACCATGGAATACTACTCAGCTGTAAAAAGAAACGAAAGGATGGCATTTGCAGCAACCTAGATGAAATTAGAGGCCATTATTTCAAATGAAGTAACTCAGGAATGGAAAACCAAACATCATTAAATTCTCACTGGTAAGAAGGAGCTGAGCTATGAGGATGCAAAGGCGTAAGAATGGCACAATGGACTTTGGGGAATTGGGGGAAGGGATAGGAGGTGGTGAGGGATAAAAGATCATGAATTGGGTACAGTGTATATTGCTCGGGTAATGGGTGCACCAAGCACTAATTTAAAAACAAATGGACGTATGGGTAGAAAG